GATGGGGATGGGGTGGGAGGTACAGTGCTACGATGTTTCTTTTTCAGCTCATCCTCGGAATCCCAGAACAGGCCTTAAGTCTTCTCCACATGGCCATTGAGCCCATCTTGGCTGACGGAGCTGTCCTGGACAAAGGCCGTGCCATGTTCTTGGTGGCCAAGTGCCAAGTGGCTTCAGCAGCTTCCTATGATCCACTGAAGAAAACAGAAGGTAGGAAGCCATACCAGGATTGTTAGGTAATACTATTGCAGAAGACTAAGGTATAGAACCCAGAAGAAGAAAAGGCATTAAATTGGGGACGGTATTTAGATTCTGAATGTTCACAATTATATGTCGAAGTGTCATGCGGCATTAAAGTGCTTTCACGTGCATGCTTGGCACAAAGGTTGAAGGCAAGTGAGTGGTTATTTTCCCTGTGGAACTAGGTGCCAGGCTGGAAATCAGGACTGAAGACCTTTTTAAAAACTTACATTAGTGTTGTTTTTTTTTTTCCTTCTCAAAGAATTGAATATAGAATTGTCTGGTACATGTTAAATCAATAAAAGTAGATAACAGGTTTTGAAAACTGTATGTGAAGTGTCGCAGTAAATACATATGGTGTTTTCCCCACTTTCCATCAGCTGTGGAGGCCGCCATTGAGAACCTCAACGAAGCCAAGAACTATTTTGCAAAGGTGGACTGCAAAGAGCGAATCAGAGACGTCGTTTACTTCCAGGCCAGACTCTACCACACCCTGGGGAGGACCCAGGAGAGGAACCGATGTGCCATGCTGTTCCGGCAGCTGCACCAGGAGCTGCCCTCACACGGGGTGCCCTTGATCAATCATCTGTAGTGAGAATGCCCGTGCTGGCAGAGTGTAAGATTTCAGACTTGTTTACAGTCCTTCTCTCCACATAAATGGTGTATTTGATGTCTGCCTTGTCAATAAACTGCATTCTGATTTGTTTGTCTTATTTTGCTGCTAGAATATACATAATTGTTTTGTTCTCCAATTTCCTTTTGATTGCAAAAGACACCCAACTTTTTGTTAATACACAGCTATTAGTATAAGTGTTAAAGATTATGTTCTTTCTGGGCAAAATTGTCAATACCGTATTAGAAACTGTGCACACTCCATCATTATATAAATTCATTTACACACATGCTCAGGTGAGACCCCTTTTGGGCATCAGTAGATCTCTCTAGGGGCTCAGTGCAGGTTCTCTTATGGCTAGAATTTCTTTCTGAAGCATCCCTGCTTTGTTGGACTGAATGGTGCTTGTGATGGGTCCGTGTGTGCTTGTGAGTGAGTACACGTTGGTCCCTGATGGGAGTTAAGGAAAAGATCTGTTCATGGTTTTTGGACCAGTGACAAAGAGCATATTTCAGTAATTTTCTGGGTGCTGGCTTGCTTTTATCTTCTGCATGTGTATGTTTTTTCTATACTTAACTATATAAATGAGGGATGATGATACCTTTAGCCTAAGAATTCATCATGAATAAGGGGATTATAAATTAAGAAAGCGACAGGCTCAGAGGTGTATGGGAGCCATCACTCAAGTATACAGTGTATATATATAATTTACGTATATCAGCCCTGCAATTAAGCAGAAGCTGGTTATTGCTTCGTTCATGAACATATCTTTGATTGTTCATGGAAAAATCCCTGTGTTTCAAGTCCAAAACAGCAACAAGGCACCAACCCAATTTACAGCTTCTATCATTGGCTCTTTCACCGTTAAATTTAAACCTGATGGGAAATAATTTATCTCCAAAGCTCTTTGAAACAGTGTAAAACAACTCCCACTCATGAGGGTGCATTTGCTAGCCAAAGACAGCTGCTCTGGAACACAAGAGGTTTGGTGTAAAGTTAGAGACACTAATTGGTATGTCGATGTTTAAGAATCTTTCCTAAAATTTATTTGAAAGGTTATATATGTAGAGGGTAAAAATTGAATATTCTTAAAGGCTGTATAATAAAAATTCTACCCAGGAAGTTACCACTATATCAAGTTGTTTTTTTTTTTATTCCAAATACATTCTCTTACCTGATACCATTACTGGTCAATGTATTTAAGATCCTTCCAGTCTAAGTAGTGATCTTAATCACTCTGCCTCAGTGTGAGAAGGTCCAAGAGATGAGGCAAAGTGACTCAGCTGACCCCTCAGGTATAAACATTAAAAAACTGAAGACAAACCTGGCTACATAATTTATGGGGCCCAGTGTAAAGTGAAAATACGAGGCCTATGGTGAGCAGAGCCTTAAACCTGGTGGCGGGCCCTTCTAAGCATAGAGCGCTGTGCAGATGCACAGCTTGCATGCCTGTAGGTGGCCTGCTGACCCTGCCCTCAGCTCGCACGTTCACCCAGGCAGGACTGAATCCAAAGCTAACCTAGAGTCTGTGGCTACCTGCCATCTGTTCTCTGGGGCCCATCTCCTCCAGGAAGGAAGAGTGGGTTAAACAGTTGGAAACGTCAGAGTGGCCCCCAAATTCAGAACTGTCTAGGTTCTAGCTAATTGGCTTTTTTCCTGGTGGAGTATCTGGTGGGGAGGGGAGAGCAGTCTGGTATTATGAGTGATTTAGTGTAGGGGTGTAAAAATCGATGATTTGGTTAACCTGGGAAAGCATTTGTTGGATGAGAAGGGAATTGCAGCTAAATATCCTGTGGGCGTTTGGGCCTATACCAGAGACCTGAGCATGTATCTTCAAAGGGGAAGAGACGATGTGGTGACCCGAGCCAGTGGCTTGGCACAGTGGGAGCCCTACCCAGTAGGTTTGCTTTTGTGTTTCCAGCCCTGGGGCAGGTGGGAACAACTAGCTCAACACAGCGTGCCTTTTTGTAAGTTATTTATGTATATCAACACATCTAATCTTCACTACAATCCTAAGAGGCGGGCAGTAGTGTTCATCCCATTGAATGGATGTGGAAACTGAGGTGGAAGGAGGTTAAGTCACTCACACAGCTGGGATGTCGCAGAGCTGGGAATCCAACCTAATTTGGTGCACTACGATAGAGGTGCCTGTTCCCAGAGTTTTGAAAAGTATTGTACTGTTTTTGTGAACATTCTCTTTCAGTTCGTTGAACACATAATTGATAATATCAGTTGTCATTTGGGCATTATCTAGTGCTCAGTATAGGCCAGACACTGCTAGGTACCGTCACACATACTATCTCTAATGCTTGTAAGCTAAATACCTTTTTACAGGTGAGAAACTGAGCCCCTGAGATTTGGCCTGTCCCAGCCCCGTCGCTAGAAAGGAACCGTCAGGATTCTGTCCCTGTGTGATAGGCTGTCAATCTCCTTTCATCACCAGACTGCCTTTCTGTTCGCCTACGTACCTTGAATATTTCTATTGGTTCAGAGTGTTTTAAATTTTGTCCTGATGTTTTGGGTGGTTACCCAGATTCTGTTCTTTCTTGTAGTACATCTAAGACAAATGAAGAACTTCTTCATCTGTGCCCCGCCCCCCCACTTCCCCTTTTGTGCTGTTGTTTATGTTTGGGACAAATAAACATATTAACCTCACTGTCCACTGAATGGAAACTTCTCAGCGTCTTTTTTTTTAAAGTCTTACTTTTCCACTCCTCCCCTGTACTGGCCAAGTTTTCTTTAAAAGAAGATTCAGATGCTTTGTTTACTTATTTTCTTGGCAATCTGTGTTGTCAAGACAACAAGATTGGTTTGCCTAGAATAGGATTTTCTGGTGTTCGTGGAGGAGAAAACTCAAAAAGCAAAGCCAATTCTTATTTTCATATCTCTCAGAGGAAAATGATTTCCTTGAGTGGGATGATTTCTATCACAAGAGGGGCTGAATGTCAATGAAAGGAAATTGTGATGTGCTTTGCTTTGTTCTAATTCACTTTAATAAGAAAGGCACATCGGTGATGGGGTTTTTAGCTCTGTGCTAAGTATATTAATAGTACCTTTGAGCACTTATGTGCCAGGCACAGAGCTATTATTATCTTTGCACACACGATTGTATTTAAACCTCAAGCGAGCCTGTGAGCTAGGTTTATTATCCCCATTTAACAGTTTATGAAACCAGAAGTCATTGTCCAAGGCCACCAAGCCGATAAATAGTGAAGCTGAAATTTGAACTGAGGTCTGACTCCACAGTCACTGCTTTCAACCACAATGCTGAAGGTAAAAAAATGATTCAGCTGTGATACCTATCTATACTCCAGGAATTTATAGCTCTATTGACAAGTCAGATTGCGTAAGTGAAAAGTAAAGAATAAAGACTCATTGGCTGAGCATCAAATAAATGGTACAGTCCTTGCTATAGGAGATCAGGGAGGAGAGAGAACTAGAGCCTGGATCACCGCATTTCGGGAAATTCTTCCCGAAAGAAGTAGATCTTGGGCTAGAGTTTGGATTTCAATGTGTATTTTTTTACTGTTCTCACATAACTGGCTTCGAACTTTACACAGTTCTACATATATCTAAATTTCTGCCTGTTTGCTAATGTTCTAATAAATCAGGCATTTTAGTAACATGATATAAATATATGGGGTTGCAGATTTTAATAAGTAACAGGAAAAGACAACCAATATAACTAGTTGGTTTCTTGGGTAAAGCATGGGTCGTCAAACTATTGTCCATGGGTCGAATCTGTCATGCCCCCTGTTTTTATATGGCCAGCTAGCTAAAGAATGGTTTATGTATTTTAAATGGTTGAAGAAAAATAACAATATTTTGGGACATGGAAAATCATGAAATTCAACTTTCAGTGTTGTAAATAAACTTATTGGAACACAGCCTTATCCATTCATTTACTTTGGTCTATAGCTGCTAGAATGGCAGAGAGAATTAGTTACAAAAGACACCATACGGCCTGCAAAGCCTAAAATATTTACTATCTGGGCATTTATAGAAAAAGTTGCTGACCCTGTGATAGAGTCATAAATATTCAAATACCCCCATCATATTTTTGGGGGGGATAAAATAGAAAAATGCAAAACTATGCATCTACCATTCAGAATTGACAACATTGTGCCATGTTTCAAATCCATTTATAAGGAAAACGTATAAGACTTTATGACATTCATCAAACGACTAACACTTTTCATTTATCCATCCCCCTGATCACTTAGGATGGTTGTTCCCAAGTTTTTACTATTTCCAACAAATGCGTTCATGTTGATAATCCCAAGGAGGGTGGTCATCTTAATTGGAACACTGTGGACTGTTTGTGAGGACCCCTGCAGCCTGAAAATAGCGGTTTCACTATAGTCCACTCTGTCGAGAGGACTTTGAATCTTTAATTAATTTGGCCCTTGACTCCCTTCTCAACCTTTTTGG